GCAAAAGTCCTCATTATGGAGGTAAATTCCTTGTATTTAACACTTGTTAAAATAATGTACCTTGTCTATAACATGATGCACAACTTCTGCGACTCCTTGCAGTTATTTTCCTTTCTCCCTTGGAAGGGCTATCTGACTTCCGGTCTATATCTAATTTACTATCTGGTCTTTTATTGATTTTAGTTGATCCTTCTTAAATTTTAGCAAATTTTCCAGGGAGGATGACGTGTGAGACTGGCTATTGGATTTTTTACATTTTGATATTGTATATCTTGTCTCCTTCAACTTTGGACACGTTGCTGAGTTATTTTTAATAGGTCACCTGAGCATTCTTTGCATATCCAACAAATATCTAGAACATGAGTTTATCAACTGATGGAGGACATAGACAGAGTTGTTGCAGAAGGTTCTCTTTTTTGGCTGTGAAAGAAAATATTCATATATTAAAGGGAAATATTACATATTGTGGCATCATTACATATGTAGTTATGCTTCTAGGATAAGTAGTTACAAAGTCGCTGACTAGTACTGTCATTTATCCTTATGATGATGACACAATGAGAGTAAACTTACTGATCTTTTAATTACTTCAGATAGGAGTAGTATCGTTCTACTTGACCAATCCCAAAGAAAATTAAACTCACTCTTATGCAAATTATAGTATCATAGCCGTACGATAAAATTAGCAGTGTTAAGATCTTTTGTTCAATTTTCCTTATCAACATTACTGGTTCTCATACATTTTAATTCTTCGACAGAGCACTTATGTGGAGGACAAAACAACTGCTGATGACGCAAGAGAATATGGACATACTCATCTGTCTGAGGTGGTTCTTTTTGCATAAGTTCCTGATATTCCTTTTTATTAACCCCAAGATTTCACCAACTCGTGGAAGCTAAAATTCTGAATGTGTTGTAGAATGATTTAGGAGTCTGATATACGATTCTTTATGCTTTGATGACATGCTACCAGATCATCAATTTCGCAGACAAGTTTCAGAACAAAGCAATCCTTTTGATCCACTTCTCAGCCCGCTATCAGTTGGATGTAAGCTTCTCTCTCTCATTTTTGTTCGTACAAAGGTGGTTTCTATGATTGAGATGGAATCCAACTGTCTTTAATTTTTTATGTCTGTCTTTACTTGTTGGTTGTAACTTTTCACCTTTGTGGTCATTTCATTCTCTTAAAAAGAACTACTAATAACAAGCCACTTAGTATTGTTGTCATTTTTTTTTTCACAACAGTCGTACCTAGGTACAGCGTTTTGGAACCTAAAGGACTATCAGGAAAGAATGGGTTTTTGTCATTTTCATGTTCCTACTGTATACCAATTAATGAGAAATTTTATTTAGTGTGAGACTCAACCAACAAAAGTTGTATGAGGGCATATTCTATGCTTGACAAGTGTTTTAGAATTGGTCCCACTTGCCAAGTCTTTCTCTCCTCTTCTGGACCATCTTCTTCCTCGTTCTTTCCATCACATCTTTTTTTTTCCTTCATTGTTTGTTATTTTTCTTCCTCTTACTCTCTGTCTCTGAGTTTCTCTATTCCTTCTTTACTGTTCTTTTTTTGGTTCTTTCTTTTCTAAATCTTCTTCTCTATCTTTTTCCATGTTATTTGAGGGAAAAAGAACTAAAAAGGTTCTCAATTTCTTATTTTACTCTTAGATTTATTGGGCTGCTTCAGTGGCTGCAATAACTATAACAAAAATTGGAAAAATGCCTCCTTTTAATTGACGATTATCAAAAAAACCAGAAAATGTTGCTNTAGAATCTAGATGATTAATACTAATTATTCAACAAATTTGATTGGTTGATACGAGTTGATTTTCTGTTACGGTAAATTGATGAAACAATAGCCAGTCCAATGGCTGCTTCAGCGGCTGCAATAGCTATAACAAAAATTGAGAAAATGTCTCCTTTTAATTGACGATTATCAAAAAAATCAGAAAATGTTACAAAATTTATATTAACCGCATTCAATATAAGTTCAAGACACATAAGGGCTCTAACCATATTTCGACTTGTGATCAATCCATAGATAACGATAGAAAATAACTAGGTACTCAAAACAAGTACATGTTCGAGAATCATTAAACAACTCCTTATCAATCTCGACTCTTTTCAATATGAACAACAATTCAACCAATTTAAATGACTAGTATATAACAAGTATGGAACAAAGAAATATATTGGTACTAGATAGACCTAAAGTCTTTCTATTTATACAACATGAATTCAAATAGAATTGAAGGAAAATGAATGTGATAAGGCAGAACAACATTTTATTTGAATTCCAAATTTTAACAGAAATTTTTTATTGACGAGCTACAACAATTGCACCTATTAAAGCAATTTCAGCAATGCATTACACAAAATGTTTGGTGTGTTCGACCGTGTTGATCAAGTACTGCCTTTAGTCCTCTTTTTATGGTTGAAAATTGTTGACCCAAGATGGGTCTTAATCACATTTTGGAAGCATTGAATATGTTCTTTGGAGCTGTCCATATTTTGATCCGTTCCAAGAAAATAAAGCCAAAATCAAATTAATTGGGAGTTTCAGACTATTTATGTATGCTTTTTGGTACTTTGCAATGTCAAAGATGAAGATTTTACTATCATCAGAAAACAATACGAGGGCTTGAGAGGAAGATTGATGGTGAGAAAACTTAAGAGGAAAAAGAATAGTTTGAAGTGCTAGAAGTAGAAAGAGAATTTAGTAAAGGGGGAAGAGAATTACCAAAAAATAAAGGGAGGAAGAGAATTTATTTAGGGTAGGGGACAGTGAGTCCTTGTGAAATGAAAATAAGGAAGAAAGAAGGATCTTTCTTCTTCTGGGGTTATGAAGAAGAGAGAAGAAAGAGTAAAAAGAGAAATTAACTAAAAGTCATGGACCGCAGAGTACACTTGTCAGGACAGTGAAGACCTCATACAACTGAAAATAGTTGAGTCTCACATCAAATAAAATTTCTCTCAATTAATTTCTTTCCCCTAATGAAGAAAGGATCTAATTCTAGGACTAACTTGTTTCTTTCCTTTTGTATCATTCTAACAATTTTTTTCTTATCAGGTTATTCAGCAGGCTATTTCTGCAATACCTCCGCCTTTGGCAGGCAGAGTTTTTGCACTTACACAAGGTTTTTGACGCAAGGCTCAATCCACGTATCAGCTACTTTAGATTTTAGAATCTCTCCCTTGTGTTTTTTGGAAATTTCCTTTTTGTTCACCCTGTTGTTTGACTCATTGCACGTAAAGCACTAAAAGCAAAGGAAACTTTTGCCATATAATTTAGCTTAGATATTTTTTGCTTATTCCTTGTAGTATGTTGGGATTAACACTTTTGGTAGGTAACCAATACTGGCAAGTCACCATATTAAATATGCTATGTCTGTGCCGTAGAACAGAAACAACCATGGAAAGCATGTTTTACATTTAGGTGCAAGCTGGGAGTTGTTCTTACTAAACAACAACAACAACAACAACAATGTTCTTACTAAAATGATGTTGAAATTAATCTTCAAATTATCTGAAAGTCCGTCTAGTTTACATTATGCTGGATCTAGCATAGTCTCATCTGTACTGATGGAATTTAATATTATCTGACTTGAATCTCTGTTTGAAATGTTTTGATATGGATTATTTTTAATTTTTAATTTTTAATTTTTTTTCCATGCTAGCGCATTAGGTATAAGTAGTGCGACTTTGAAGCACCAAAATTTCGAATGCTTTTTACGAGCCAACTGAATTAACGAATTAAAACTTCGAGCATGCCTAGAGGCGTACAAACTGAATCGGAAAATCGTACCAAATCGATTAAAAAATCCGACAAGGTTTGGTTTGATTTAGTTTGGTATTAAGTAAAAAAAAAAAAATCTGAACCAAACCGACATATAAATATATAACTTTTAAGATTTTATATAAAATTATTTTTACAAAAATTCTAGAAATATTTGAGATTTTCTTATGGGATGTAATATTTAATAAATATGAAGTACTCCATTTTTAATAACCTTAAATAATGGGTTATATGATCACTTTCTTATCAAGTGTTACCGAAATAGGTCAATCTCTTTGTTCTTCCATGTTCATATGTCAAGATTTATTAAATTCTTATATCTTTTTTGAATTTGAAGTAGTATTTCGACAATCTAAAATTAAATAGAACATATCATTAATTAGGTATCATATTGATTTTTATGTTTAATTAGTAAATTCATTTAACCTTGAAAGTATACATCAACAAAAAATTATTGTCAGACGACCAAAAAAGTAACTATCATGTGTTATTAACAAAATTCTCTCATAAAATTAGCTTAATAGATCATGTTTGTTAATTTTTTAATTTTTACTAAACATATATTTATTTGTAAAGAAAATAACAAAGTAAGATTGAAACAATATTCATGCAACAAAAAATCCCAAAAAAACCCGATAAAATCGAACCAATCCAAACCGATATAGTCAGTTTGGTTTAGTTTTAATAAAAACCGAACCAACCCTATCCATGTACACCCATAAACATGCCTATATATGGTTTATGGCCTTGAGGTCTTAAAATTAAAACAAATCTACAAGTGGAAGAGAAACACTATAGAATTCTAGGCATGAAAAATTCATTTTTTGACGTAAGTCATGAAAATCATTATACAAGCATAACCCAAAATAGGAAAGTTAGGTAAACGGTACATGTGTGAATAGGAGAATTGCAACAACACATTCTAGCATCCCAAGCGACAAAATAGAAATAAAATTTAAAATCAAGATTAAGTATGAAATTCATTAGTCATATGGTGTGCGGAATCCTTAGAAATTAGAAGTGATGAAAGCTGTCGATTGATGATTAGTACATTTGTTTACAAGGGAGAGAGCATTCCAAATGGATAAAAATCCACTATCTGGTCTAGCACATAGGAATGATTTTTGCATGGCCCCTGGTTTTGTAACCTTTGACTTCCATAAACTGAGTAATATAAACGTAAAATCATACTATAAAGCAATAGCAAAATCCTCGTCATTTTACAGCTATCAAACAACCCCACCACCTGGCTGGCTATTTTCACTTGCCCCCAACATATATTCACATCAAGATTTGCAGCAAAGTAACTGTAGTTCACAAATTTGTTAAGTTAAACTTGGATTAGCTATAGCTAGGTAATATACTTGTTATTTCCTGCATGAATATTGGGAGGATTTTGTTAACTAAAAAGAGCCTGTTGACAGGACGAACTTATTCTTATTTATCGAAGAAGATGAAGAAGAAAACGAAGAAGGAATCTGAAAGGAGAAAGCTAATTAGAAAGAGATCACTAAAAGAGAAGAATATGGTTCAAAAGTTGTATGATACTTGCAAGGAAGTGTTTGCTAATGGTAAGGCTGGCTATGTTCCTCCTCCCTCCGACATCCACCGACTAAAGTTGGTACTCGGTATGTATATATACTACTTTTGCTTGCTTATATATTTATGAACATTGAGATCTATCAACACTGCTAAAAAAAATTGAAATTAGCTACGAACTTCAGAAACTTTCTGAAATTATATGAAACAAAATTCTTAGATAATCTATCGATAAGAGAACTTATCTCTCCATGTATTTTACTCCTATCCTTTCTTTTCCTTCTCTTGGTCTTTTAGTTGTGCTACTAATATACTTTTTGCTCTTCTACGTTTTTTTCCCCACCTTCTCTTGTATATGACACTTATGTTAATGATCTCTCAAATCAAATTTGTACTTAGAAGAAGGATGAATTTTTGTAACGATTAATATATATGAAATACGTCAGCAAAAAAATATGATTTACTATTTACAAAGTGTATATATGGAATTCACAAGCCGTTAATTTCCTCTACTTGCTGATTATACTTTCTTTCAAAAATTAATTCAGATTTCTCTACGTGACTTAATGAAGCTAGTGATAATTAATTAAGCTTGTTACATGCCATAACTAACTTCTACGTACTAAGGGCAGATAGTCTGGAACCAGAAGATATCAAGCTTACAGTGCCAAGCTTGGAATTTTCAAGTAGAAGTGGAACTGAAGATGAAGCTCCTCTTGTCACCTACATTAAGCTTCATGAATGCAACAAATTTTCGGTATATATATATATATATATA